GAGAGAGAGAGAGAGAGAGAGAGAGAGAGAGAGAGAGAGAGAGAGAGAGAGAGAGAGAGAGAGAGAGAGAGAGAGAGAGAGAGAGAGAGGGCAGTGGCGGCGGAGAAAGGCATTCCCTGTAGACGGACGATCCTGTATGCGAGGCTGGGATAGGCATGGGGTGAAAAGAGAGTAGGAAGGTGTGGATAGTCTTGCTGATAGGGGTACCTATAGCTTTGGGGAATCCATGATAAGAAGGGAGAAGTTGTGGGGATAAGGGGGGATAAGGTTCCCCGAGGAGGAATCGAAGCAGAAGGGAGGGCTTCTAGAGGGAGGGAGGCGGAGCCTCCGAGAGAGGTAGAAGCTCCGGTGCGAAGGAGGCAGATGGCAGTTTGAACCTTATCCCCCGAGCGAGGTAATGAAGGAGCTAGAATAGCGGACTGTTGAGGAGTCTCTGCACGGATGACGACACTGAGCACCTGTACAATGACGACACTGAGTAGCCTGCACGGATGACGACACTGAGCACCTGTACGGACTGCAAAGGACCCGTCGTGGTATCGAGAACAGGTAATGAAGGAGCTAGAATAGCGGACTGTTGAGGAGTCTCTGCACAAATGACGACACTGAGCACCTGTACGATGACGACACTGAGTAGCCTGCATGGATGACGACACGGGGCACCTATACGGACTGTGAAGGACCCGCCATGGTGTCGAGCACAGGTAATGAAGGAGCTAGAATAGCGGACTGTTAAGGAATCTCTGCACGGATGACGACACTGAGCACCTGTAAGAGTGGTGGGAGCCGTCCTCGAAGCTGTGTCAATCTAGTCCGAGCGTTCATCGTCAAAAGCTGAAGGTTGATTGCAGAATTCTCGTAGCATCAGATCCTGTCAGTGAGTCGAAGTAGGTCTTTGGCATGGACACGGGGAGGGGAGGAGTAGAAAGTAGTTTGAAGGACATTTAAAGTAGCGAGGAAAAATACCGAGAGAATAGAATAGTGCAGACAACACACCTGCCCCCAATATGAGGCGAAGACAACTTTTTTCAAAGCAAAAAAAAAAGAAGAAGAAGAAAAGTAGCCTGGTTACTTGACAGGCGGAGCACAACCCGTGACAGGATCGAGTTTGGCACAGTTTAGAAGATGGTGGAGGTTAAAACTTGCCGTGTATAGCAAACGTTAAGGGTTTACAGCACAAGCGGTTAACGGGGACCCCCACTTTTCGGCCCTGAGTAACCATGAATGATCCTGAAATTAGGGTTTCGGGGTCAAATTTTGTGTTTTTTTGGATTTGGACAAGCTTGCTGTATGCCAAATTTGGTGTCATTAGGGTTATTAGAATTTGTGTTGTTGATCATCCTGAAAATCCTGAAATCTCGATGAATTTTTTTTTGGCAAAATTGCCTGAAAATGCACTTTTGAGGTGCTGTTTTATGTGTTTATAATTTTTTTTGTTTTGTTTTGTTTTGTTTTTTATAATATGTTAGTAAGAAGTGCACTCTATACATTGGTGTGGAGTTTGCTTGAAATGGCCTTATGGTTTTCTTATAAACTGAGGTGAAAAATGGGGGGTCGGTTAACCGG